TCTCATTCTGATGGCACCCATTCACTGCAGAGGATACATTGGTGAGCAAGTGATGTAATACTAAATTTCTCCAAATCTGATGAAGAAACAAACTCGTCTACATCTTGGATGGCCTGAGGATGAGCACATTTTCAGCAATTTTTTATTTTGGGATGAACTACTCCTTTAAAAAGAAGCACTGGTGAGTAAAAATGAAAAACAAAATGTTTTGATCTGTTTTAAACAGGAGTGAAGCTGCTTGGTGAAGGATACCCAGACAGGACTGTGACGGAAACGTGGGTGGGCGCTTCTCCACTGCACCTGCTGAGGCAGCCCATCCAACACCAACATCAGACCCTCTGACTGAGCCTGAGAGAGAGAGAGAGACACTCATTCAGTCGTACTGTGGTTAAACAGTGCAGCTGAACTTCTCTCAGGATTCACTTACATGAACAGGTTTGGAGAAGGCGACAGACACCCTCTGTCTCTCCCGGCTGACATACACACAACTGATCATCTCCTCTCGCTCCGCTACACACACACACACACACATACATACAGCATGGGGTGAGCATACGTGTCTTCACAAATACACAGCAATTCTAAACACACACACACACCTCTGCCCAGCAGCCAGCGGTAGTAGAACCAGGCGCTCTGGTCGTTGGGGTCGGTGAAGAAGGCATTATGCGCCAGCTCATATTCTCGAGAAAAAAAGTCAGAAATTTACTACATGGTTCACTGAAATTATTCTGAAGTGTAAACTGAGAGGCAACCTGAGGTCAAATATTGTTGTTAATAGCACAGCATCCTTAGACGCTTGATTGTGATTGTCTGACAGATACTCTGAAGGGCTGATTATTTTTCTAACGGCAAAGATAGAAGCAGGTCCAGGTCTTGACCATATTACCATGTTACCATAGCCTTTAACAGCAAAACAACCACAAAAATACAGAGACATGTGTCAACAAAAAAATTAAGAAACAATCAAATAAAGGACCTGTGTTTAATTATTGTCTTACAGGATCTATATAAAGTACATAGTATCCTCACATAATAAAAATAAGATTAACTCAAATCAATATTTACTTTAATAATATAATGAGTCATAATGTCATAAAGAGATTATTGTCTCTTTAATAATCACAATCACCAAGAACATTTTAATTTTTAATATAAATAATAATCATAGTAATAACAAGTTAAAAATGCTTTTTTCTGTACAAAAATGTATGATTTATTTATTTAGTAATTAATTGATTGACTGATTGATTGATTATAGGCCAGATTCAACCTACCGTTTAAAAGTTTGGGGTCAGTAAGATTATAATTATTTTTTAAAGAAATTAATTAATAGCAAGGATGCATTAAACGGATTAATTAATTGACAAAATATTTGTATTTCAAATAAATGCTGCTCTTTTTAATTTTCTATTCATCAAAGAATCCTGAAAAATAAATCACAGTTTCCACAAAAATATTAATCAGCACAACTGTTTTCAACATTGATAATAATCAGAAATGTTTCTTGAGCAACACTTCAGCATATTATTATGATTTCTGAAGGATCATGTGACACTGAAGAGTAATGATGCTGAAAATTCAGCTTTGATCACCGGAATAAATTACAGTTTACAATATATTTAATCAGAAAACGTAAATTGGAATTTTATTCATTAATATTTAATTATTTCATTTTAAATTGTAATAACATTTGACAAAATTACTGTTTCTACTGCATTTGTTTATAAAATAAATGCACTTGGTGAGCATAAGAGACTTCTTTAGATATTAAAATCTTACCAACACCAAACTTTTGAGTGGTACATAGTCTGTACATCATGAGCTCATGTACTACTGCTGTGCCATAAATTCAGAGATTAAAAAAAACTGATAGTGTTCTGGACGTGCTGAGATTAAGCAGTGTGGAACATAAGCTAAAGCACAATCTCGAGTGCCTTATTGCTTACATTCTGTATGCTGCTCTAAATTAGTTCATGTACCTTTAAGAAGCTGCTCCTCACAGACTCTGTGTGAGTGAATTTGAGGTGATGCAGTGGGGGAGGGGCTTGTGTAGGGGGCGGGGTCAAGGGCAGGCTGTGGGTGGAGCTGAGGTAGCAGCGTACTCCTGTAATGCCAGCTGGAGTAGTTGGAGAAATTGGAGCCGATCAGACGATCTGTGAACTGCAGCTCCTGCTCGACAGAAACACCAGACTCCTTTACCACCACGCGCCGGTAATCCCAACAGTGGACTGAGGAAAGAAGAAACACGTCAGACAAAGAGAAATATAAAAATCAGAACGACACTAAGTTCATCTTGTTCAGTGCATGACTCTCTCACAGTTGCGCTCGTCGAGGCTGAGGCAGCGGTCGCAGAGGCCGAGCTCTCGTGTCCAGACAGGCTGCGGCAGGCGCGTGTTTACCCAGCTGCGGTGGTGCCAGCAGCCGTAAGATTTGGGGTTCACTTTCAGACAGGCCTCGATGAAGTGCAGCTCAGACTCATACAGCTTCTGCACCTCGTCCTTCTCTCTAGAGGATGCAGAGAGAAATATATTACTGTCTTTTGCACAGATTTGATGAGGGGTTATTTATTTATAATATTTTTTAACTATTTAGTTTTATTTTGTTGTGATAATGTTAATAAACGCAGTTAATTATAAACATTACTGCTATGTCCTCACACTAGGATTTTTTTTTTTTTACATTCACAAAAAAAAAAACTTTTATAAATATTCATAGCTGTGAAATATTTCATAGAGCAGTCAGAAATATTTATACTTTTTATATAATTTCTGCATTTAAGCAGAAAAACTAATTTTCAGTTGAAAAACAAGATTTACAATTTAGTATGTGTAACACGTAAATATGGTTATATGCATAATATAAAATTATGGTATAAATCTAGTCACTAATTATATTATTTTAGTAAAATACGACAAGATTTAGAATAAAATGTAACAGATTTACAGAAGCCCTGGGCAGAAAGAAAAATAAAGTTGTTGTTTATTCAAAAAGTTATTTATTATTTGATTTTGCATTTAATACATGTATGATTTGCATCATAATATAATATAATATAATATAATATAATAATTTACAGAAGCCCTGGGCAGAATGAATCGAAAAAATAAAGCTGATTTCAAATCAAATAAAAAAAATTCTTTTTGTAATAAATGTTTTGGCATTTTCACAAAAAAAAAAAAGTGTACATGTGTGATTTGGAAAATATAAATGAAATAATGATAGAAATCTAGTCAATAACCATATTATATTGGCAAATCCTAATCAAAATTTAAAGTGCCATGAAACCCCCTGTTTCAGCACTGGTCTTTCACACCTTAGATCTGAACAACACTCCAGAAATGGGTGTGTAACACTGTGGAAAGTGGCTGGGAAGAGGGGAGAAAACAACCAATAAAACACAGACCCACAACACACTCATTATACAGACAGATGAATATTAAAATATCTTTACAGAAAGAATAAAGACAGTCACTTTTTGTTTACTCTTCTTTGAATTTTCGGTCTATATATCATTGTTTGCTGTGAATCACAATAATCCATCGTGTAATCGCGTTCATGATCAGACGCACCGCTGTATCAGCTCTCTTATTCACGATATTTCATTTAAAAAAAGACATGATATGTGTGCGTATACGCTGCTGGTTCATGTTTGGAGCACGGGAGAATATAAAACGAAACACGCTTGCTCCGGTCCAGATATGAACTATGATCCGACTGTTGTTAAACTCATCGCGGCGTTCAGCGCAGAAACCGCTCTCTCATGCACGCTCCAGGTGTTGTAAAATATATTTAAATATTAAATATGTTACGGTCGTGTTTACAGAGATGAGCTGACAGCGCGGAAGCTCTTTCATGAGATTTAAATTCTCCGCTGTAAGACGACCTCATGCATAATGCAGCGCATTGATTGGATCATAAAGAGTTAATTCTCATGAATAATACTGAGAAAAGCTCGGGAAACTGATGACGTAGACGTGTACTCTCCGGCAACGGCAGCCAATCACCACGCATCCAGATTAACACATATACCTCACTTTTCGTGAAGTAGGCTCAACTAGTGCTGGGCGGTATACCGGTTCATACCGAATACCGGTGTTTATTTTTGTTATGATATGAATTTTTAAAATACCGCAATACCACCTCAAAAAATGTGTTTTAGGGTTTCATGACACTTTAAGCAATTCGGTAGATGTTGAAAATCAGAAACTATCATGCAGTGTCAATTCATTTATTTTAACGATGGTGCTGACCGATACTGAGAGAATGAAAGAACCGCGCGGTTGGGGGAAAACCTCAAAAGATTAAAATGATTCCTCGGTCATCTTAATTCACTACATTCACAATAGAGCGAGCCTCTCACACTCTCATCTCTTAAACAATACCCTGCAGATGTTGCAGGTGTGATGTGTCGCAGGTGTGCAGCGGTCTCTTACCGTAAGGTCTCCAGGTGTAAGAGCACTTCTCTCCTGTAGTTCCACAGCGTGGCAAAGTCCGGGTTTGAGGACAAGAGCTGCTGAGTCAACTGCAGAGCCTCCTCGTCATGTTCCCCAGCACTCCTCTGAGACACAGAGACTATTGCAGGCTTCAGCCCCAAACCTGACTTCATGCAACACACAGCACACCACACAACAAACCTTTTTCAAGACGGCATCGCGAGCAGACACAAACGCTTTCAACTTCTTCTCTCTCTCCTTCCTCTTCTCCTCCTCCTGCTGCGCGGTCGACTTGATCTTCACTCGTCCGTGCTGACAGGAACACAGAAAGAGACAGATGCCTGATGTACAGAGAGCAGGCCAGAAGCAATGCCATGATACTGTGACAGAAAGAGCAACTCACCATAATTCACCACTTGATGAAGATCTATAAATAGAAAACAGTATAGATTCATTTGTAACAATAAGGTAACAACATATATATATATATATACACATACATACATATATATATCAAATGAAATTCAAGTCTTCCTTCATTCATTCAGATTGTTATAAGAGCATAGGTATGGTCCACCAAAGAGATAATGAATGAAAGAAGACTTGAATTTGATTTGAAATGTAAAATACCCCGTCAGCACAGACTTCCTAACATTTAAATCGCAGTGATAGAAGAGAGCAGCGCTCTGAAGAGAGCACAGGTCTAAACACATCTGGGACGATTGATCTGTCACACCGAGCCACAACTGCAGATGCTTCACAACATGCGGTAAACTGTACTTTACCCTGCGCGTGGAGTTTCCAGATGAACATTATATCTATCGCACAGCTTCATATGTTAAACCGTGTTTTTGTTTTACCTCTGTCTGTGACTTTAGGACGTGCTGGACGTGTGATAAATGCAACCTGTTTTACAAACAGTTCCTCCGTCGCTTCATAAATACGTCATCGACGTGCGCCCACTAGCGCCGCTGCGGGCCTCCTGTGACGTATCGTGTCATAATAATTAACTAATCTGCTGCTTCTATTATTACTTCTTTATTTCTGACTTTTGATTTTATAAAAACAAACAAATAAATAAATAAAAATCTGTAAAATGTGTTACTATTTGTAAACATTGTAATATTTTTTTTAATTTTTAGATTATTTGTACATTTTTGTTTATTCTAATGTATCCCCTGGTTACATATGTAATTCTTTAAAACCGATAATAATAATAATAATAATAAAAGCTGCTTGGCAATTAATACCTAGGAACAATCTCTGCATCTGAAAAGATTATATATTATATTATATTATATTATATTAATACATTTGGCTAACAATATTCCTATGTTGGCAATATATATATATACAGTATCTCACAGAAGTGAGTACACCCCTCACATTTTTGTAAATATTTTATTATATCTTTTCATGTGACAACACTGAAGAAATTACACTAAAGTGAGTACACCCCTAAGTGAAAATGTCCAAATTGGGCCCAAAGTGTCAATATTTTGTGTGGCTACCATTATTTTGCAGCACTGCCTTAACCCTCTTGGGCATGGAGTTCAGCAGAGCTTCACAGGTTGCCACTGGAGTCCTCTTCCACTCCTTCATGACGACATCACAGAGCTGGTGAATGTTAGAGACCTTGAAATGCTCAATAGGGTTTAGGTCTGGAGACATGCTTGGCCAATCCATCACCTTTACCCTCAGCTTCTTTAGCAAGGCAGTGGTCGTCTATATACATATATATATATAAATTAATTAATTACAAAGAAAAATAAAAGACTGAATTTCAATTTATTTTAGTATAGATGATTATTCTTGGATATATTTTTTAAATAAAATACAATAATAAAATAAAATCTCATTATACTCTAAGTGGCAGTGGCAGACATGTTTTCTTCATGTTCTAGTGCAATCTGTTTGTTCCCACAAATAAAGGTTGTATCAGATTTCTGTCAGACAGAGCCGTGTAAATGTATACAGGCTTTCTTTCGCACAGTATGCATTCAGATACTCAAAACACATCCATGTTTTCACGCGTTACATCAAGTCCCAAAATAGGCCAGATTTGATGAGATTAGATAACTCCGGCATCACCAGGTCCTCTGAGAGGATTATAATGCTGACCTGAGCTCAAACCTGCAGTAATCAGAGACAGCGGAGTAACACCGTTCATATGTGCTCAGGTCAGCATCCGCAATACAATAATAAAATAAAATCTCATTATACTCTAAGTGGCAGTGGCAGACATGTTTTCTTCATGTTCTAGTGCAATCTGTTTGTTCCCACAAATAAAGGTCGTATCAGATTTCTGTCAGACAGAGCTGTGTAAATGTATACAGGCTTTCTTTCGCACAGTATGCATTCAGATGCTCAACACACACATCCATGTTTTCACGCGTTACATCAAGTCCCAAAATAGGCCAGATTTGATGAGATTAGATAACTCCGGCATCACCAGGTCCTCTGAGAGGATTATAATGCTGACCTGAGCTCAAACCTGCAGTAATCAGAGACAGCGGAGTAACACCGTTCATATGTGCTCAGGTCAGCATCCGCTCCCAGTCTTTTGTGAGGCAGATGCTTCTTTAACACCATGTTTGCTGATAACATCTTGTTACCTTCGTGCCGTGCGTTTTGATTTTTTTTTTTTCTAACTCTAGCAGGAATTTCATAGCTAAATGTCTGAAAAAAGCTCAGTCACTGGACATCAACAAACGGCTTCGACCGTGCCTGCCTTAAAATCCTCTTTCTTCAGAATCTTGCAGGACAGAATCCATGAACTCATACATAGATACATTATATTTTTTATGAATAAGTACAGTTGACATTACACAGACCATATTACAAACATAACACAAACATTACAAAGCAAACAGAAGAATTGAACCACGTCATTCATGTTATGTCAGGTTGTTCAATATCAAGCATTAAATCGGTTAAATCCCTCCTTTTTTAATTCATAAGTAAATGTTTTATACAAGCAAAACACTCGAGCAGCACAAAAGCGCGCAATACATATGTACAATTCAACCTAACTCAAAAACAAACCGACAAACATTAAATCATCTTTTCAAATTGACAGTCAGGAGTAATACCATTAAGTGTGTGAGATATAAATACAAAAAAGTGTTAGGAAATCCAGTGCAAGCGTTTCGTTATAAAGGCACCAGTTTGTAAGGCTCTGGTCACGAGCTGATCTATTTTTAGCTTTTGTATTAAATGGTTATTAAACTTATTGGGTGTTACGCAAGTCCTTAAATCATGATGCATACTACTATAGTGAATGCGAAATAATGCTGTATGAGGTGACTAAAGCAGTTGAGACCTGTTCCCTTCAGTCCTGAGAGGAGGAATGGCAGTGCAGCGCCGCTCAGGGGTTGTCCTCCTCGATGGTAAAGCTTTCCATGGGCTGTTTGCCCAGCTTATAAATGTCCTCCAGCAGACTGCGTGGAGTCAGGATGTGCGTCGAGCCTACAGACAACAAAAAAGGCATTATTTAAACCACTGCAGAACACAGGCAGCATTTTAAGCATCTTTTCAGGTTCGCACCGGTAGGGACTCTTACCAATGATGACCTCACAGGATTTATTGGCATGCGTGACTTCATAAGCACAGCGCATTTCTGAGTAGGTGACCCCACCCAGAACAAAGAGGATGAGCCGCAAGCCGCTCCTGAGGTCGTCCGGAGAACTGCCCTTGTGCTTCTGCCGCGCGCTGACAGGAGACAGACCCCATCCATGTAGCGACACGTTCAACCACAGGGTGCATGAGACAATACTTTATACACACACACACACACATTACTGTTCACAAGCTTGGGATCGTATGGTTTTGAAAGAAGCCTCTTTTGCTCACCACTGCTGCATTTTATTTGATCAAAAACGTTAAAAACAGTAATACTGTGAAATATTACTACAATTTAAAACAGATGTTTTCTGTGTGAACATATTTTAAGATGCAATTTAATGCTGTGATCAAAGCTGAATTTTCAGCATCATTACTCCAGTCTTCAGTGTCACATGATCTTTAATCATTCTGATATGCTGCTTATAAATCAAATCAAATAAACTATTTATTATTATTATTATCAATGTTGAAAACAGTTGGACTGCTTCAACCGTGATACAGGTTTTTTTTAAGGATTTTTTTGATGAATGGAAAGTTTAAAAAATTTTTTTTATTTGAAATATAAATCTTTTGTAACATTATAAATGTCTTTACAGTCACTTTTCATCAGTTTGATACACCCTGATTTACTAATTTTATATTAATTTCATGCAAAACAAACAAAAAACAAACCAACCCTAAAACCAATTAATAAAAAAAAAGAAAAAAAGAAAACTGCTTAGCAATTAATACCCGGAAACAATCTCTGCATCTGAAAAATATTATATTATATTATATTATATAAATATTCTTATATTGGCAAAATAATATAAGAAAGTGATTTCAAATTATTAAATCAGCATTTATTTGAAATATAATTATTTTATAACAGTACAAATGTCTTTTCGGTCATTTTTGATCAATTTGAATAAAAGCCCAGAATAACAGTGTTAATTTCTTCAATCAACCAATCGATCAATATTTCTGACCCCAAACCTTTGAACGGTACAGTATGATCTTATCACATCATGCAATTAGATCATCAGCGGGAAATGAGAAGCCTTTAAACTTTAGGTAGGCCCATGTTATTATAAATAAAGCAACACAAAGAAATGAAACTTAATGTGTAATGCACTCATAAAAAACAGCCAACAACCCAAAGGGCTGATCTTCCCCCTCGTCTTACCTCACCACTCTGACAGCCAGAGGAATGAAGAGAGAGACACTGAACTTTACACTCAACAATTATAATGAAACATTGGGGATTTACTGTTTCAAACTGATGGATGAGCTGCCATGAAAGCATGCCACAGCTGCTGTTGTACTGAATGTACAATATTGATTTACGGGTGTATCTTAAAGGAAATTAAGGTTATTAATTGGTGTAAGAAGCTTGTTGTTAAGTGTGACTAAATTGTGTGAATCAGTCTCTCCTGCCCTACCTTACAGCACGCGAGCCGTTCCACGCAGACGGACATTCAGACTGATACGGCCAGTCTTTGACCTCCAGTTTGTTCTCCACGGCATCCTGCCATTCACACACACACACACAGAGACACAGAGACGCACGTGCACGCGCACACACACACACACAGAGACAGAGACACACAGAGACACAGACAGACAGACAGACACACAGAGACACACAGACACACACACACACACACACACACACACACAGAGAGATTTAACTGACACAAGCTGCTTTATCAATATGCAACAAGCCATTCATCTTTATTGGCTCTTCTCACTAATGACTAAAACATAACTTTTACATAATATTTGTGTATTAAATCCATTCAAAGTCATCGTGTCTCCTCAGAAGATTTGGATTAAACCACTCGATTCATGTGAATTAATTTTGCCATGTCCTTATATACTGGATTTTCAATGGAGGGACAGAAATCTCTCACATTTCAAATATCTTCATTTGTAATTTCACAGAAGAAAGCAAGCCATAGAGATTTGGGGCGTCATGAGGGTGAGCAAATAATGAGAGCATTTTAATTTCACAGTTATGCTATCCCAACTATGAGCTCATTTACATATGACCAACGTTTAATATATTATTTTAAGTATTCAGCAACTTGATCTGCCTTATGCAAGGATACATAGTCATTTACATATAGAAGACATAAAACTACAGTAACAAAAACAGTCTACAGTTAAATAAGGGGCATTATAGAAGTTCGTGGAATAAAACTAATGCTACATAAGTGTACAAAAGAAACTCTGATTAATACTATTCTCATGGTGGCTGCTGTGAACCTGCCATGACCGAACTAGTGCAATTTAAAGTTTCTTTTCACTTGAAGAAGAAACTACCCTCTGGAAATCAACACATGACTGTCTAACCCAATGGCTTTTACCAGTGCTATATATAGCTGACAAGAAATAAGACATTGTCTTTTTATGATTTCTGGAAGCATGACATTTGATCTGTCAGTCATAACTTAGGATACAATGTCAGTGGCCCTGAACAATTCATATGTGCAATGGGGTATTTTTTACATTATACATTATAACTGTAAGCTCGTATCCTGCTGTATTATATATCAGGGCTCCACAATAAGGACGGCTGCTAGCCCAAGGGCAGTGTGAGAGCACTTCAGCACAGTTACTTGACTTCTTGGGGTAGTTTTAAATTCACTGTTCTTGTACATCCATTTTTATATCTTGCAAACATAAATATTTAGTTTTTCAGAATATACATTTATGTTTGCATTATATCTGTATAATTCTCAACTTGTTGCCATTTTAATTTGTGGCAAATATATTGTGGTCAAAAAAAAGTTTGAGGGGGTTGTATGTACATTTATTGCGATTTCAGCTGCATTGGCTATTACATCAGATACAAATAAAACATTCAACAACATAATATCATAAATACAATATAATAAAAAACAAATGTTTTTATTTTTTCTTTAAAATTCGACAAGAGCAAGCACAATTCTCTAAAATGTTTTTTAAATGTACTTGCAATAAAATTTGTACAAGTTATTCTTGGTCAATAAAAAAAAAGTCCTTAAACGTTTGCGATAGTCTCGTAACATTAAAAAAATAGGACAAACCAAAAATATATGTTTTATAGACAAGTTGGTGATACAGTATTGACATTTTGGTGCTTCTTCACTCCTCAATAAATGCCCATGAGTCAGTCTAGAATGGCCTATCCAACAACTTATATATGTATTGTAAGTTAGTATAAAACTTAGTTGTGCCTTGCCAATATATAATATATATAAAAAAACACTACCGTTCAAGAGGTTTTGGGCTCAGTAAGGTTTTTTTGTTTTTTTGAAAGAAATACATACTTTTATTTCATACCATTTGATCAGAGCTGATACTGAAGTCTAGAGTAATGATGCTGAAAATTCAGCTTTGCACCATAGAAATAAATTAAATTTTTATAAAAAAAAAAATACTCGGATAGAAAAATTTTCTAAATTGCAATAATTATATTTCACAATATTACTGTTTTTTTCTGGATCAAATAAATGCAACCTTCAAAAATATTTTACAAAATCATACTGATCCCAAAATTTTGAATTTTAGTGTACACAGAAAAACAGTAGTGGACTTAGCACAAAAAAGTGATCATATAAAGCAAAGCAAAAAAATAAAAAATAACACTTTATTGCTGAGCCCTGCATATGTTTGTCTATGAAAAACAGTAGTGGACTTAGCACAAAAAAGTGATCATATAAAGCAAAGCAAAAAAAATAAAAAATAACACTTTATTGCTGAGCCCTGCATATGTTTGTCTAACAGTGCTTTAGACACAGTTTGGCAACTGACGTTTAGGAGTAAGTGTCACTCACCTCCATTACATCTTTAATGATGGGTGTCCAGCGAGACACTTTGTAAGTCTCCTCATCTGACCGGTCTCTCCGAGATTGTTTACGAAATGAGTACATGCTCGGCTGTTATGAAGAGAGATGGAGGTAAAACTGAATATCAGAAAAAATACGTCCGTGTTAAACAGCATTTGTATTTCACACGTCCAATCAGAAATGTCAAAACTCGATACTCTTAAATCAATAATAAAATTAGCCTTTGCTGTGGTTTAGAAAATGCCATTGAGTGTCATGAAATTTCGTTTGTATGGATGCCAAATACATTTCAAACTACAAAACTGCAAATCAGAACGCATCAGAACCAAATAATAAGTCAACAGTATGAGTGAATTATGCAATATCAGTAGGAAAAGAAGCAGTGCCAGAAGAGACAGAAAGCATCTGCGGACTCACCGTGGATAGGATGGGAACTCCCAGATGTTCCCAGTTCAGGATATACCCTCTCTCATCCTCGATTTTCACATGCTGAATCAGTTTATTCAGGTTCTCCGCTGTCGTACCTGCTCATCACACACAAACACATTCAGCTGCACTCATCCAGCAGGAAAACACACACTGCCATTCAAAAGTTTGGGATGAGTAAGATTTTAAATGTTTTTTAATGGAGTCTCTTCTGCTCATCAAGGCTGTATTTATTTGATCAAAAATTAGTTTGACGAATCTCGAAACTGACTTTTCTTTCTAAGGTTCTATAGTTTAATCATTTTTAGAAAATAATTCAATTTTTGAAGTTTTTCAATCTGGGTTTAGGGCAAAACATAGCACAGAATCAGCACTTTTAAGGGTTTAAAATTATAAACTATTAAATGCTGGTTCTGGAACCTTGTCGAACCTAATGTTATTGGACCTGAGTGCAGCCTTCGACACCGTTGATCATAATATTTTGGTTTCTAGGCTGGAAATCCATGTTGGAATTTGTGGAATAGCTCTTAAATGGTTTAAGTTGTATCTAGCAGATAGAAGTTTCGCTGTAAAATTGGGCAAATGTCAGCGCCAGCTCCACTAAAGTATGGAGTCCCTCAAGGCTCTATTCTTGACCCCCTTCTGTTGTCACTGTACCTTCTCCCTTTAGGAACTATACTTAGGAAACATGGAGTTTCGTTTCATTTTTATGCCGATGATATGCAGATTTATCTGCCACTTCAAAAAGACGATGGGTCTGGTATGAGCTCACTTTTGAACTGCTTAACTGACATCAAGGACTGAATGGCGTTAAACTTTTTAAAAATTTAATGAAAATAAAACTGAGATTGTTTTTTTGGCCCAGTCAGCAATCAAACTACTATAAATTATATTCTTGGCTCCCTGGCTAAGCATAATAAAGCAGTGGTGAAAAATCTAGGTGTACTTTTTGACTCAGAATTTAAATTTGCCAAGCAAATAAATTTGGTGGTCAAATCTGGCTTTTTTAATTTGAGACTTCTAGCAAAGATGGAGCCTTTTCTCTCTTTTAGAGACCTAGAGACAGTTATTCGCGCCTCTATTTTTTCAGGCTTAGACTATTGTAATTCTCTCTATATGGGAGTTGGCCAGAAAGCCCTGGCACGTCTACAGGCAGTTCAAAATGCAGCTGCGAAATTGCTGACCGGCACTCGAAAGTGTAATCATATTACCCCTATCTTGTCTTCTCTCAAATCGTTGCCGGTCCATCTCCGAATTGAATATAAACCTTTAGTGTTTGTCTTTAAATCTCTGAATTAGTTGGCACCAACATATCTGGAGACATTAATGAACCGGTATTCCTCTGTTAGTCCCCTGAGATCATCTGACCAGCTATTTTTAGTGGTTTTAGCTATTATTTTAGCTATTTTAGTGATTTTTCTTTTATGCCAAAAATCATTAGGATATTAAGTAAAGATCATGTTCCATGAAGATATTTTGTAAATTTCCTACCGTAAATATATCAAAACCTAATTTTTGATTAGTAATATGCATTGCTAAAGAACTTCATTTGGACAACTTTAAAGGTGATTTTCTCAATATTTAGATTTTTTTGCACCCTCAGATTCCAGATTTTCAAATAGCTTTATCTCAGGCAAATATTGACCTATCCTAACAAACCATACATCAATTGAAAGCTTATTTAATCTTAATTAAAAAAAATCCTTATGACTGGTTTTGTGGTCCAGGGTCACATATGGCGCAGTTGCGCTTCGGGTGTCCCGAGTTCGAATCCTGCCTCGTGGACCTTTCCTGACCTTTGAACGCCAGTGTACTAAGCTGGACAGTTTCCCAATCACTACATGTCAAGAAAGGAAAAATGCCCACCGTTCAGACTGAAGATGTAGAGAAGAACGGCCCGGATCTTATCAGTGGTGTCATGTGGGTGTAACAGCACAGGAAGTAACGTCCTCATGGGGTCCTTGACCTTCTGTCCTTCAGCATCTGCACCTACAGCCAGATCCTACATGCAAAGCACAAAAAGACCATGTGAGACACACTCTCGACAGAAGAGGGCATCCTTTCTCTCAAGGCATCATTAAGCTTTACCTGTTCGGCTTTGCAGAGTTTTTCCACATTCTTCTGGTAACGACTCATCAGATCCTCAGCTAAACATATGTGGACAGTTTTCTGAGGGAGAGAAATGGGAAACATTAAACTGCAAGTGAGTATTTTAGGCAGCCTCGACCACCACTATTGAGTGTATAGGCAGTATGAATGTGATCTTCCAGTCACAGGCTTCATGTGATAGCATGCTCTTTCAGGACATGCGAGGCGTCTCGATTACCTGAGTCACCTGCTTGCGGAAGGCTGGCATCTTCTTCATGAGCTGTGATAGGCCTCCGATTGAGATCTGCCAATGACAGGGGCATCTATGACATACTCATATGAGGGAATCTGCAACTGGACACTACTGCTATTGTTTGGAGGTGTTGTAAAAATATACTGTACCTTCTCATCGGACTGTTTCTTCTCACCTCTGCTGGCAGAGATTTCCTTCACCAGTTTGGGGATTTGCCTTTGGAATAAATAAATACAATAATGCTGGTTACATTAACAAGGACATTTATGACAATAATAGGCTTTGTGCCTAACATCACATCTGCTTGTTTTACAGGGGTTTGTTGTGCATAACCCCCATTTGGCAAATACCAAAGCTACAATGCATTTATCTTTTGTGGATAAAGCAATCCCATAATGTACTGCAATAAGCTCCAAGGAGGAGGAAGGAGTTTAGGGTCAGTGTGATTTATTTATTTTTTTTTAAAGAAATTAATACATTTATTCATCAAGGATGCATTAACTTGATCAAAAGTGCCATTTATAATGTTACAAAAAATTTATATTTCAAATAAATGCTGTTCTTCTGAACTTTCTAATTATCAAAGAATCCAGAAATAGAAATTATATCACGGTTTCTCAAAATATTGGGCAGCACAACTGTTTTCAACATTGATAAATATTTAGAAATGTTTCTTGAGCAGCACATCAGCATATTAGAATGATTTCTGAAGGATCATGTGACGCTGAAGACTGGAGTAATGATGCTGAAAATTCAGCTTTGATCACAGCAATAAATTACATTTGAACATATATTCACATGGAAAACAGTTCTTTTGAATTGCAATAACATTTCATAATTAGTGCTGTCAGTCGATTAAAATTTTTTATCTAATTAAATACATTAACACAATTAATCACAAATTATACATGGCTATAAAAATACCCCCAAAAGATTATTTAAAGCTATTTTTTGTTAAATGAGGAAGTATTAAGTAGACATTACAAATGGTAGCTCTTGAAATAAATATTTGATTTGATTCAACATAAAATGTATTACACAAACATTTAGGCTACAACGGCCCAACATAAACTATGGACAAAAAAGAAGATAATTTGAGAAACATCTCAGATTTTTTCATTCATGCAATAGAAGTCATTGGAAACCAAAACAGCTTTGTTACCAACAGTCTTCAAAATACCTTCTTTTATGTTCCACGCAGTCATTCAGGTTTGAGTAAATGATCGAAATGCGGATTCATTAAGAAACTAAACACCGCTGTGTTGCTCGGAGACACAGTTATAGGTAATGTTTTTGATGGCAAAACTGATCAAAAACAGACAATATTGTGTTTAAAATATAACACAATATCAACTTCTTATTTACAGAACTGCTGTATAAAATCACATTTGCAATCGATATATTCAGGTCAAACGGCACTCATTGCTCTTGCTGCTCGTGTTATATCACTTATCATATGATATAAATATGAGACAAAAACTGTAGCATTTTTTGGAGCATTTTTGCACTAATATCTTGAATTTTAGGGCATAACTGCATTGCCCTGCATCATATTTGTCAACACTCAACTATATGAAATGCAAGATGACGTACAGGTCTGGGGGCGGGGCCAGTGCGTTAACTGCATTAAAATATTTCAATTGCGTTATTTTTAATTAATTAAGTTAACATGTTAAACTGACAGCCCCATTCATAATATTAAATTTTTTTACTTTATTTTTGATCAAATACATGCAGCCTCTGTGAGCAGAGGAGACCTCTTTCAAAAACATAAATCTTACAACCCCAGACTTTTAAACTGTAATGTATTTTATTGAATACAGAAAAGAACTGACACATACAGTCCAGTTTAAAGAAAACGGATCACTCCTCCCAGTGACTGCGTGCCAAACTGTGGAGATTGAACTCAAGTAATTCTACTTACCCAGTGACCTCAGCAATGTGCATGTGGCGTAGTTTGACCCATAATTCATCCTCTTCAGTCAGTAAAGCTTCTTTCTTAGAGCCATCCTTTAACTTATACCTAAGTGAAGACACACAGAAAAACACCAATACGCAGGAGAACCAAAATAAGAGCAGGGGTGTCTGTTAAAGTAAATAAAGATCAATTGATTTGGCTGAATTAAGTTGCGGCGTCATACTCATAGGCGTTGTCCTTTATTGGTATGAGGTCAAAAGCCATGGCCTGGTAGGTGAGCTCGTGAAGAATAGGACTAACAGGGTCCAGCGCACGATCGACAATCAGAAGCTGAGCCTGCGTTTTTCCCTGAATGTGAAAAGAAAGTACTGACGAGGCAGTTTGTGCAAGCAGAAATATCACTTATAAGACCACATCAGAAAAAGAACAAGATTACAAACATTATGGGTTAAAGGGGTCATATGATGCGATTTCAATTTTTCCTTTCTCTTTGGAGTGTTACAAGCTCTTGGTGCATAAAGAAGATCTGTAAAGTTGCAAAGACTAAAGTCTCAAATCCAAAGAGATATTCTTTATAAAAGTTAAGAGAGTCAACCACGCCCTCCTAAAACGGCTCATTCTAACACG